GGATTTTTTTTTGGTTTGTTTAAAAATTGGGTGAAAAAGGGAGTTTTTTTTTTTTTTTTTTTTTTTTTTTTACAGATTCTGAACCAGGTGAAGCCAAAACTGACATAAAAAGAGTTCTGGGTAGAACAGATATACAGATATATATATACATTTATCTTAAATGCAAAATGTGCACATATTGTTGTATAGTTTAACTTAACTGCTGATTGGCAAATTGATCGATTATTAAACTATTATTTCAATAATCGATTCAACACAATTGTTTCGACTCTACAAAATACTTCTGCAAATGCCAAAGCATTTGTGGCCATTTTGAAAGCTTGCCACATGATTCTGCTGTTGGAGGTGAGAAGTTCAGGAGGAGCCATGCAGCTCAGTGAGGAAGCAGGAATATCTGCTCGGTAATGAGGCTTCAAACGGAAAACAAAAACTACCATCATGAGCATGTTGAGACCGAGTCGTACAGGAGGTGAGCCCCGGGGAAACGGTTGACCTGGGCTGCCTGCATTATTAATGTAAGTCAATGTTCAGCAGAAGAATCTGCTGCTATCACCTGTATGAGGTGTTTACTGACCACAGGTCGGTTTACATCATAACACTGACTCATCTAACGCTCCTCCACTACTGGCTGCTTTTTGTTACCAGGAAAGACTTACCAGCATCTGAAAGTAATTTTTGCACAATAAATCAAATATTCTATTTTTATATGAAAAAGTTGAGAGCGGGAACCTTTGTGTTTCTGGTACGCCTGTAAATCTGACGCACAGCTACGTCCACTAACAGCAGAGATGAAGCGTCTTCCCTTTTCCCCCTGAGGTTCACTTCTGCTTCTAAACGATCTGGTTGGAAAAGATTGTTGTGTTTAAGTTAAAAGGAGTTAGCCTATCGGTGAAGCTATGCTAGCATCTCAATGCTAAACGTGTAGCAGCTAACGCTAATGTGAGCGTCCACAGTCAACATTTATAAAGAAGCTTCAGGAATGATTGGAGAAACTCTGGAAAGATGAACAGATAGAAAAACTCTTTGCTCCAATCTAATGGCTGAAGAGCCTGAATGTCCCGTTCAAAATGTCTTTTATGAGCTTTAAAAGCAGAAAAGGCAAGTAAGGAAAAAGATGTTTATTTTGAAAATTTCAAGCCTCATTTTAAAAGGGGGAAATTTAAAAAGCAGCAGTGTGGCTTCAACTGTGTTTGGATGGATCATGTTTTCAAAACAGAACCAAAGAAAATGCTGCAACGGCCACTGTTACCATGGTTACCATGTCAGCCGTTAACACCATCAGTTACGTTAGAGCCTCACTGATGCTTCCACCACCATGCCTAACAGTGGGAGAAGCGTTTACTGATACAGCTCGGTTCGTCTGACCAGAGGTCCGAGGTGTGTGTGAAAGAGCTTTGAACGGAATGTGCATGTGTGTGTGTGATGGGATGTGACAGCGGTGATCTCTGCTAGTCCGCCCTCCTTTATCTGAAGTCGTTTGGCTGTGAAATCACCGAGACAGACGTCAAACCACAAACCCCCCGCCCTGTCTGCTGCCCCCAGCTGAACAAACACACACACGCAGCGCCACCCTGAGCCACTCACAGTGGGTTGCTTAGGACCTGGACGTCCTGTTTTTGTTGTTGTTTACTCGGCACCTGACAGCAGGAAGCAAACAGTCATGTGACGCTCTCTCTGTCGTCTCATTGGCTGCTAACTGTTCTTGTTTTCGGTACACTGTGGGTCGCCTGGTCCTGCGCATCCTTATGGGGTCATAGCAGGATGCAGGGCCACAAACCAAAATGGAGAAAAAACTTCAGTATTTTTATTGAATCTGAAATAAATGGTATAAGACCCACCAGACATGGAGTGAATATTTTCTTTATGTCTCAATTTTGATGATTCTGAATATTTCATCTAATCTGGCATCTCTCATCTTTCCCATGCTAATCCTCAATAGGTTCCCTATAAGGTTCTGGTCAGGCCTGTTTGCTGGCCCATCAAACCCAGTACCACTCTGGTCTTTAGACCAGATTCTGGTACCGCTGTGTGGGTCAGAACCAAGTCCTGCTGGAAATGAACCCAGCATCTCCATGAATCGGGCCAGCAGAAGGAAGCATGAAGGACTCTAAAATGTTCTGGAGGATGGCTGAGCTGATTGTGGACCTGACAGAACCCACTGAACCAGAACCAGCTGGTGACCCAGGTCATCACTGACTGAGAAAGCTTCATTCTGGACCTGCAGTACTGTGGTTCTGGTTTTCTCCCATCAGACTGAGACCTTGAGGTCCAGATAAAACTTTACTTTCATCTGGAGTTTGGACCTCTGAGTAACAACCCGCTTCTGGTCCTGGTTCTGGTTCTCTCCTGTGTCCAAGGTTCTGGACCCATCTGAGCATAGTGGATCCACATGTTCTGATTCCAGCCCCAGTTCAGTCTGGTGAAGATCCCTCAGATTACTGAACAGATTCTCCCTGTTTCTACCACACTTTTTCCTTCCACTCAGCTTTCTATGAAATTAAGAGTTTTTCACAATATTGTAATTTTCTGAGGAAATGATTTTTGTTTTCATTCTCGGTGAACAGGAATCATAAAAATGACAAGAAATAAAGTTTTGAAATGCTTCAATAATGTTTTAAATTCACCAAAAATATATCACTTCTTTGTGATATTTTAATCTTTTGAGCTGTAATTTTAAATCCCGCAGCCACTGGACACCAGTCAGAGAGACAGAACAAAACCATGCATACAGCCAGTCGGAGACAGCAGCCAGTTAACCCAGCAGGTTTCTGAGGAAGGAAGCTGGAGTATCCAGAGAGACGCCATGTTCGTACGGAGACTCCAGGCTGCGATTTGAACCTGTGGAGTCTCCCTTAAATAAATCATTTACTCCAGTTTGACCTGCAGGTACATGTTGTTAATTAAGTCCTCTGATGTGATGGAAGTGTGTGTGTGTGTGTGTGTGTTCAATCTGCTGTCCTCTAACTGAACAGCCCCTCGTTCCTGTACGACTCCGCCGGTCCAGTAGCTAAGAGCTGCTCCGTGTTTCTGGCTTCCAATCCACCAGTGAACGTGTCGCCGCTCCAGTAACTGGAATATAAAATGGACCGCTGTGATTGACCGGATCAGGACTCACCCTCGCTCCTTTGGCAGGTAAACACTGGCAGGTGGTGCAGTCCCGCCCGTCACATGGCTCCACCAGGTTGCCCTGGAAACCAGAAGAGGACAGGAAGTCATGATGATGAGGATTCAACATGATTCACGAATCTTTAACTTCTGCTTCGTTTTGTCTGGTTTTAGTTCAGGTTCTACTTCCTAAACCATTCAAATCCAGAAGAGTTTTCTCATTTCGTCTCGTTCTTCCTGCGGTCCTGTCTTATTGTGTCCAGCAGTGCAGCTTCGTCCCAGGTGGAGGTCAACCTGAAACCCGACCCGCTTCCGTCAAGCAGCAGGGCGTTGTGCAGAATGTGGCGATCCATGATGGAAAATTCATGGAAAACCAGAAGAAAATGTGGCCTGAAGGCAATTGCAGAGCTGAACTGGTTCCAGAACTGGACCGGTTCCAGTCTGACCCACAGAGCAGGGATTCCTTTGGGTCAATGGGAAGCTTCTCATTGAAGCAAAGTCACATGTGGTGAGGTTCAATCCCAGGACGCCTGCAACTCAACACCTATATGCTGCCACTAGCATAACTAGATGATACACAGCTCTACATGATGATGTCACCAGGTGACCTTTCACCCCATCCAAACACTGAGCAGATGCTGAGTAACGACAAATGTGTGGATGTGCCAAAACTTTCTCTAGCTGAACAGAAACTTAAGTTATTAAAGAGGAACAATCTAGATTTATATATATAGAGTTACAGATCTAGATTTATATATCTAGAGTTACAGATCTAGATTTATAGATATAGAGTCAACGCACAGCTTCAGGTTTTCAGCTGGAAACCACATTTCAAATTCAAATGTTTGAGGCTTTTATTGTGAAGTTTGGCCCTGAATCTGCTTATCCACCTCCTTTGCTTTAGCCGCTCCTTTTAAAATCTCAGTTTTCTGTTTAAATCATTTACTTTTTGCTATGTTTATTTATTTTCCGTTTATCCTATTATTACTAGCATATTTCATATCAGGTAATAAACTGTATGTTTAGTCTTAGTTTATTTTTGTATTCTTAGATTATTTTGCTCTGTCTGTGTTAATCCCAGTTTTCCTGCGGTCTTCCTGCCACAGCTGTTCCACATCATCTCTAATTATCTCCTCCGGTTCCCGTCTCGTTTCCCTTCCCTCAGTATTTCACCTCCTGGTTTTTCATCGGTTCTTTGCTGGGTTCTGGTTCCTCTACTTGTAAGTTTCCTCCAACACGCCTGTTTTAAGTGACTCTCTGCACCTTGGCATGTTGTTTTTGGTGAGTTTAAAAGGTCTGACTCGGTGCGAACACAAGGCGCGTCGGGCAGGCAGCAGTTTGTCCTCATGTTTTTGTTCTGGTGTTTCTTGCTCCACAGAAAGAATGTAAACAACAAAAAAGATTTTCCCCATTTTCTTAGGAAGCAGACAGCTGATGGTTTTTTGATCAGATCAGTCGTAGACAATCACGCTCTATTTTTTCTAGCTCTTTCATCAAAAAAAAAAGGTGAATGAGGACAGATGTTCCTCTGATCCAAATCAACCGGTGGAGACAGAATGGCTGCTCATGTGGGCCGTTTCACAGATTAAACACATGACAACATGCGCTAGCTTCTGCCGACGCTTTGATAAGACTGAGACGGCTCTCTGGAGGAAAATACAGTAATTCAAAAGTGTGGGAAGAAAGTACTGTTTCCTCTCTTTATGTTCTCTTTTTTTTAAGAAACTTTATTGAGGGTTATTAAATATATGTACAAAATACACATATATAATTTGTTTTGAGAGACTCTTCATGTTTTTTCTTGTGAGAACATGGCTGAATTTAGCACCTCATCATAGCTTCCATTAAATACCATATTGGTATAGCACGTTAGCATTAACTTCTGCTTATTTGTATTGCGCATTAGCATTGTTTCCAGTAAATAACATGCGAGTGTAGCACTTTAGCATTAGCTTTCACTAAATAACATATTAGCATAGTGCTTTAGCTAACGTTTATGACTGGTGTTTTAGTGTTAGCACAGCTGCCTTTTCTTAGCTAAACCTGTAGATGGTACTCTTGCTAGTGCTGAATCTGGTTCCCTTTAAGCCCAATGCTTCCAGGAGTCCCTTCAGGGTCTGAGGGGCCTTATCTCCAGCAGTTTTTGGGCGAGAGGCAGGGTCCACTCTGGATGGGTCCCCAGCCCGACCCAGACCAGCTAACATGTTTTCAGACTGTGGGAGGAAGTCGGTGTACCGGGTGAGAACCCATCCTGAGCGCAGAAAGACCCAGGCCGGTACTCGAACCCAGGATCTTCTCACTGCAGGGCAGCGATGGAAGGTTTGTCTCGGAGCGATAGGATCATAACTTTTACATCCAAAGGTCTCCTGTCGCTGTTCTGACTGAACCCAGTGTTCTGGCCTGAAGAGTCCGTCTGAAGCGTGACTTTCTGTCCCGACTCCTGCCGGTAATAAAACATCAGACAGAGAGGAGCTAATCTGGGCTGTCCCTGCTCATATGTCCCACACTCAGTGTCCCTGTTGATGTCCTGACTGTGTTTTCTTTTTCTCTGTGGGCCCCAGACGGTGAGTTTCCTCGCATGCAGCAGTGTTTGTGTAGCAGCCGCATTCCTGCAGCGTTGTGTAAACGAGGTTGTCAGTGAGGCATGGTTTATCTGCTGTCATGACTTTGTTCAGAGAACACCATCCTCCCTCCACCCAATTATCCTCCATCACCGCTCTGCGCCCCAATCTGGACCCAGTATCCGCTGACCAGCACCATCCACCCATCCTTCCATCCATCCATCCACCCATCCTTCCATCCTTCCACCCATCCATCCATCCATCCTTCCACCCACCCATCCATCCATCCATCCTTCCA